CTATTAGTAAGTACTGTAGAATTTCTACAAAGAAAAAAAAGATTAATTTTTAGGAGCATTTGTCGACTTAGTATAACATTTAAAGCAAAAATAACAGAGTGAGATGATACTTGTCTGTAGAATCATCACTATGAGTGACTCCTTTCACAATACACATGATCAAACGTTAATGTGAACATATTTATTTTAGTTCAGTGTTCTGTTCTACTCCTATAACAACCCCACAATGATTTAGTGACCTTACACTGAACTGTACACAGAAATCCCTTGGTCTAATTTCTAATGTCACTATTTAACATATTGTTGTTGTAATTCATGTTTCTCCATCACTCAATATTGTTTTAAAATCTAGGGACTTTATTAAACTTTGTCAACCATAATACAAAAATGCTGTGAAGAACAAACAACGTACTGAAGATTTTGTTATTGGCAGACCTTTTCAAGGAATTAGGCTATAGTTATCCCCTGTGACTGTAGAAAAAGGTCACGGACAAGGCTGGATAACATCCGTGCAAAGCAATTAACTGCCTCAGATCGTTATCCATGTGGATATTACTTTGTGGTAATTTGATTAATTAAAATATTCTTTGGTAATATCCACCTCAAAAGCACACTAAAACTGAAGGGCCATTTTTAACCAATCTTAAGGCCCTGAATCAGTTAAACCAATTTGGGTTTGATCAAATTATCCCAAACTTACATCAGCCAGCAAACCTGGGCACGGTGGTATTCCGACACAGAAACACTGATTCTTCTTCTCTGGTTTCTTGGACAAAATGGGTTTGGGAAATGTGTGTGTGGCGGCAGGCTCAGGGCACACAGTGGGTAAATTCAGCTCTGATCAGTGGGTCATCTTCTCAAGAACTTGTGCATGTGCATGAATTGAATTTAATATCTATTGTGCAAATTTAATGTTATAGCCTGAGGGAGGTATAAAAAGAAAGCTCATTGTATTTTATTGTATTTGTTCAGTGTTTATTTTAATTACTGGGAAACAAGTGTCACTATCTGCCTACTTTATTCCAGCTGCTTTCTGTTTTGGTATACCTGTCCATATACTTCCTTAAGGGGTCCTCTTGTCATGAATACGGTCTAAAAGGTTGTATGTCCAAAATCATAAGGTTTCATCATCAGTTTTAACGTACTGTAATTATTATGGCACAAGCATTATTTCTTGTTCACAAGTCCAAAGTTTGGCTTGATGGTGGCACTAAAGAGAAGGCTGAAGTAGTAACCTAAAACATATGGATTCAGCATCTGGGAAGCACAAACATCTGCAACAATTTCCAAGAAAACATGCTGAGAAGTTGCTGAGATATTAACATCACCTGCCTCTAAAGGGGCAAAAATACTACAAGTTTATCCATTAAATGACACCTGTTATGGTCTTTCATGATGACCAAGCAGCACTTACTGTATATTCACATCTGTTTCTGTCATTGTTCATGCATTAATGAAGCTGTTTGCATTTCCTCAATATGTCAGGGTCTTTAGATATTTAAAGACCTTTTGTTCTTGCTTCATTGTCTTCACTTTAGACACAGAGAAACAACAGCAGTGCATTCCTAGGTCTGTGTGACTGGGCAGGGAGCTGTTACACCCTACTCCACTGTGGCTGATCTGGCACTTAAACTGGACATTAACTGGATGTTTAGACATAAAGTCGCTCCCTCCTCCCTGCTGAATGTGTCATAGTGGTGTTATGGCCTCAAATGACACTTTCTTTGTCCATTTTATTTCCCAAAGATGGAAAGATGGACTGCTGCAGTTGCATTTGCTGACATGTGGAGGTACAATGTGTTTTTTTCACATTGCACTTTGGTTAATGGTCAAATCCACAGAAACAGTTATTACTCCCTATTTTTCAGCGCGGGTTATTATTTCCTCACCATATAGTTTAACAAAGTTATAGAGCTAGTGCAGATGTGTCCCTGGAAGCCTTTTCAGTTCAGCTTGGCTCAGTTTTTATTACTTAATCTCTGATTAGCAGCAAGGCTGGAAGGCAAGAAAGGTGGGCAACTGCTGCAGGAGGCCAAAATAAGCCCAGGGTCACTGCATGGCAGTTGGTTTAGGTAATTTGATTGATTACATATTTGTAAGGGAATTTGTACCACTCCCAGGTTTAGTTTGAAATTTATGGCAATACACTTCCTTATTTTCATTTTCTTTCTATTGAGCTACCGCCAGCAGCCAGTTATCTTAGCTTAGCATAAATACTGAAAGCAGGGGGAAACAGCTTGCATGGCTCTGTCAAACGTTCAACACACACACACACACCTACAAACACCTCTAAAGCTCACAAATTAAAACATGTCTCACTTGTTTAATTTGTAAACAAGTTGTAGTTTTAGAATTAGCAGAAAAAACGTTATTGTCTTTTTTGGGAATTATGTGATACGCTGAATCACAGCACCTGGAAAAAAATTGTCCAGCACATAATACACATAAATTACAATTTATTACGCTTTGGTTTTTGACAGCTGGGCTTGCTGTTTCCTTTGTTTCCAGTCTCTGTGCCAGGGTAAACTAACCGATTTCTGTCCGTAGCTTCCAATTTAATGACAGATACTGTATGAGAGGGGGAAGAGATCTTCTCATTAAACTCTCAGCAACATATTTCCTATCCAAGCAAAATATTTTTAGTGCATTTTCCTAAAATGTCAAATAATTGATTTAAGACCGGTATCAAGTAAAATGTATTCCGCATTATTATCTTGTCTTATAGAAGGGCGCTCAGTCAAAATCAAAAGTTTTAAGACATTATTTTAGTTTACATGTTGCATGGGGCATATTCCTAAACAAACTTGTTTACCGGTAATCAAATAAGCTCTGGGGCCCATTCGTTTATTTTAGCATAGGAGCACATGTTGTTTCAATAGGAACTTGTTGCATGGTACGTACACTAAGCACCCAGGATGGGAGGAGGGTCAAAACAGGTTAATCCAACCATGATTAGAAATTGTGTTTCCGTGCAACTAATCTGGAAAGTTTCTAAAAGTGACAACGCACGCTTAATTCAGCAATGTGGAATTTAACTTGTGACCAGGATGCACTGTAATAAAATACTTCCTTCTCCATAAGGAGTTTTGAACCTTAAAAGTCTGCTGGTAGAATTAATCCAAATCAATTTGGAGTGTGCAGTGGTGCATCCTAATGAGCTGTAAGGATGTGTGCTGCAGTGCTGCCCTCTAGTGAGATGAGGGATGGATGATGCAAATCACAGCAATCTAGTAACAATGCAGAACATTTGCACGCACACAAACACACACGCTTCAGCTCAGACACCTCAACAGATGTCTCGAAGTCAGAAACAAACAGAGTGCACAGTTAAAATTTTAAAATTAATTTATTATATGTCTTTGTCATAGAACTCATTACTTATTGTTCATGGTTAACATACAGCCATTCATATAGAGAACAAATGAGTTTTTTTATTCATCATTTTCAATTAACTTAGAAATGTACACTCTTCTTTGTGACCCCGCAGAGGAGAAAAATATCCTTTTTTCAAAAGTATCTTTTCTCATTTGTGTGGTTCTTCCCCTGAGGGAAAAGGCTCTCTGCCTCCTCCTCTTCATCTCCCGTTCTTTCTCTTTCATTTGGATGAACGGATGTAGAGGCAAGGGAACACCTGAACACACTGGCACAATGATGAACACAGGCAAAGGGCTGATGTACATTGGGTACTGAACACCGTGCCACAAAACAACCCGCCCAATCTTTTTCTCTTCTCTCACTATCTCACACACGCACACATTCAGTAGGCTATAGTAAATACACACACTCTCTCACACAAACACACACTCTCCCACACACCAATTACGGAGGCCCATCAAACCATTTCAAAATAATAGCACAAAATAATAAATGACCCAAGAAACAAAATGAAACCCCAACAATGATATAAAAATAAAACTATGCGACCATATACAATCATTATCAGTGCATGGGGACAGAGGGAGGCAGGGGATACAGTTTGTGTTATTGTACAATGTCAAAATATGTAAAAGACTATCCTCATATGTAACCATTGTGTCAAAATTAAAAGGAACAATATTTCCTTGCTTTATCCTGTCCCAACAGCTTTTGCAAACAGAACAACAAAAAGCTTGAAAAGGAGCGTCTGGTTATTATTTTTATAAGCAACATAAGAACATTATAGGTAGACAAGAATGGACCAAAATTACAGGCATGACCAGTTTCAGCTAATCTCTCAAATCTCATTTAGGTCAACTGAAAAAGCACAGACAAAGTGCTGCAGCCTGTTCACTTTCACCAGGATTTTATCAAATAAAAACACACCCACACCGAGTCATCTAACCTACTTTCATTATCCCTCTCACATTGTAAACCTTATTTTTTTAACACAACAAAAAGGAGCGGAGGGCCAAATCTGGCAATGTGGCAGGAGGGTGGAGGGGATTAGATGGTTATGGACCTGGCAACCGGCCCTGTTGGTTAATTGGCTGCAGACAGCACTCTGCCCCGGGGACATGAGACCGGGTGGCAGCACCATGCCCAGTGCCAGTCATCTGCCAAGGCCGTACTGTTGATGTGTGTGTATGAGTGTGAAAATGTGTGTGTCTACACAACATGGTGTCTTTTGTCAGTTAGTCATTTGTCCTTTTTCAAGGACAAGATGGACGGAAGGCGGAGGAAGTGTATGTGTATGTGTGATATGTGAGGGGACAAGCAGGATGCCTCCTAGTGGTCACTGTGTAAGGACAGGCCAGTGTGTATGTGTGTGTGTGTGTGTGTGTGTGGACAAGGCTTAACTAAGCAGCAGCAATTAGCCAGACAGTCATACTTGTCCAAGTCAGTATTTCTTTTAATTAAGCTCTTTGGATTAACACAATGCGTGTAGGTATCTCATAAAATTTAATTTATGACCCAGTATGAACAAGAACATACCTAAAAATTCCCAATATGAGAAGTTCTAGTTTTATGGAGTAAAGATTAAAAAATATTTTTTTTATCAGTGTCAAATCTGGTCAAATCTGTTAAGTCTTTTTGTATGTTCACCCCTTTTGTGGCCTATCTTTTGATGCTGCTTAATGAAGCCGTCCCACAACAAACACCAGTGACTAAATCAATTATGATGAAACCTGGTATTAATATGCAAAATCAAAACCCTGTTTACGATACAATATATTGCCTGACTAGCTAACAGTAACATTTTAACAAAATTAAAAATAAACAAAAAATAAAAAATCTTTACGTAGGCATTACAAAACAAAACAAAACCACATCCCTCCAATAAGGTGCAATTCATAGTTTTACAGGCAGAAATACTATATGCATTTCGGCATGCAACTCAAATAAAAAAACCTTTTTTTTTTCAAAAGAAATAATCATCGCTTTCTTTTTTATCAGTTTTTTACATCTTTGTCTATGTGGAGGGACAAAAAAAACAGAGGATATCAGAGATAAAGAGGGGGAAAATGCTGAACACAAAACAAAGAGCATAATACCAGCACCACTTTGCTGTCAGTCAGACACAGAACATTAAAGAAAAGATGAGGGCAAAAATGGCAGTTTTTTTCCCCGTATGCTGGGTTCCTCTTAGGTCGGGGCTCTGGCCCAAACCGGTTCTGAGTGGCTGAGCGACAACAAAAATGTTTTTTGGTCACACAATGGTAGCCTTCATAGTGATCACATAACAGCGAGGGCACAAACAGAGCAGCTACAGTAGTCTGCCTGTTTGACCAGCAGAGGAAGTGGCCACAACCAGACCTCAGTAAAAAACAGAGGCTGTACTACATGCGTGTCTTTGTGTGTATGTGTTGGCTGTAGTTATCTGTGAGTGTCAACTGTATACGTTGCGCCATGTGTGAAGGTAGGAAATGGAGTACATCATGAAAAAATATTCAAATAAAAAGGTCAAAACAAAGTCATAAATCAAGTGGTTATGTGATGCTGTTAAGGTCACAAGAAAAAGTTTGTCATCAACACAACAGAGAGCAAACAAGAGGCCTGCCACAGTATGAAGTCCCCTTTATAGCATCAAAGGAGGTAAAAAATCTGTGAGGTGGACTGGAAGTCTATTCTAGCCGTAGGCTGAGACAGTGTTTATGAGCTTACACACACACACACGCACGCACACACACACACACACACTCGGACATACACACACACCGCCTTAAAAGACATTAAATATCAAGCTGCCAAGTGGATGGAGTTACAAAGAGGTACAAAAACAAAGTTAAACAGAAAAACAGAGGGCTAAAATAAAAAATGATTGCCTCTCAGTTTCTCCATTTCCACCAAAAACAACATTAAAACTTTTCAAACAGAAAGAAAGACATATCGATTGACTTCACACAAAAGCATAGGTGCAAAACATAACCAAACCAAAAAAAAGGGTAGACTACAAATGTGGAAAGTCTGTGATTGTAAGGATCAGTTACTCCCTCTTTCCATCGCTGTTCCCGTTTCTGATTGCAGGGAATTCAAACCCCTCTGGAGGTTCGCCCTCACGCTCTTTCCCTCACTCTTCCCTTCCCTTCCCTTCCCTTCCCTTCATTTGCCTTTTTCTAACCATGTCACCCTCTCCTTCTCTGCCTCAGTTTAGGTCGGGCCGCTAAGGGACAGCAAGTTTCTGAGCATTGCAGGTAGACTAAAGTAGATCATGCACGCAAAATGGAATAAACACACACTACATGGACAAGAGTATGTGGACACCTGAAATTACACCCATATGTGATTGTTGAACATCCCACTCCAAAACCATCATTAATCTGCAGCTATAACAGCTTCTACCCTGCTGGGAAGGCTGTTCACAAGAGTTTGGAACGGGGCCACAGAGATTTTTGGCCATTTAGCCGCAAGAACATTGATCAATTCACCCCACAGGTGTTGGATGGTGTTGAGGTCAAGATCTTCCACAGCAATCTGGGAAAACCATTCCTTTAGGGACCTTACTTTGACCACTAGGGCATTGTCATGTTGAAACAGGAAGAAGCCATTTAAAATAGCAATGTGACTACACAATATTCTGCCAAAGTGTGAAGACTTTTGGTTATTTCACATCCAAGATTTATTTCCTCTGTGCTCTTCCACCAGTTTGAAGTGGGCGGGACTCAAAAAGGTAAAGTCCCCTAAGTCCCTGAACCAACCAGGATTTAGTGACATTTGATTCAGAAGTCAGTCAAATCTGATCAAACCACACCCACACATTTCAGATATAACAGATTAACACTTGTTGGGCATTAAAGGAAAGGTTTGAAATTTTGGGAAATGCAGTTATTCACTGTTTTGCCAAGATTAAAACCAATGGGTCTAGTCTTAATCATGAAAAACAACCCCAAACCAAACTACAGCAAATAATGCTGATAGTGTTGTCCACATATTCTTGGCCATATAGTGTACGCTCGACACAAAGAGAGACACACATTCAACACTCCTCCCTTCCCCTCCAGTTTCTGATGGCATTTGATCTGTAGCCAGGTGTCGGCTTGTCTATATGCCCGACATTTCGCACGCGTATGTGTCACTGCGTCCATCTGTCTCTGCAGTGCCACACTGACTTTCTTCTTTTTGATCTGCAGTGTCACAACATATGGACTCCTGGACCAGACTTGTCCTGCATCCACCCCGAAGCCAACAATCTGTCCTGGAACGCATTCAGACGTGTTATGTGTCCTGATTCACTCACACACCTCTCCTATTTCGCTGTTATAAATGCCAGACACATTCGTCAGACAAAACGTGGCATGTTTACAGAGGAAATTTTCCAGTCATCATTACAAATGTTTCCATTATTTTATATTCAACACTGCTTCTAAACTGCTGCTTAATTTAATGGGTTTTGTTGTTGTTTTGGAGCCCACTTCAATGCGTGATAAGGTAAATTATTTTCCATGCAACTTTTACGCAAGTTGCCTGCTTTACTGAACACAACTGCGCTGTGCCCAATTGATTTGCTGAGGAAGTTTTTACTTCTCAGTGGAAGAATTTAACATTTATGGTTCACAAAAACCTTTTTTATGGTGTAAAGGGCCAGTACACCCAAATGTTCTCACTTAATTCTAGTAGTCTTGCCAACAGTGTCTCCTAATCCACAGAATATTAGGTTGACAGTTTTCATAGGGAGTATTTACTGGGTAGAAAATAGCTTCAAGGAAAGCTGGAAAGACATTAAATGTAAATCTTCAAAGCTGTAACCATTAAAAATGAAATTCTGTTCAATTCCTTGATACTGTAGCACTAGAGGGAAGTGTTGTGTAATTTGAGTAAATTGACCCCTATAATACTACTTGTAGTGTTTCAGCCTAACACTAACAAATCCAGCCCTGAAGTCCAACTAAGCAAAATGGGAGGATAATAACTTGCACTTGTTTTGGCCAATGCTTGTGGTTAGTAACATCAAGTACTTTCCAATCAGTGGTGACACATTTTTGCAGGTGTCGAAGTTAATGCGATTGCTCAGCTTGTGGAATGTGACTGCTTTCCGTTGCTTTCATGAAGAAAATGAACATGTTTACAGCAAAAATGACAACAGCAGCAGATTTCTGCTGTGGTCTGGCAGGAGGCGTGTGCTGGTTCCTATTTCAAAATCCCAATTTAATTTCCTGATTTGATATGAAGCGTTTCAGCCACAATGTTCCATCGACAAAAACTGTTCTTCACACGTATAAACTAAACTAAAATGTGTGAGATGACGAGTCAAAATTAAGGACTTGGCATTTTTTCTAATTTTTCTAAAGATTTCCACACATTCCAGATCCATGTATGAGCCACAGAGAGAAAGAAAAATTACTTTTAGAACTAAGTCAAAAAGGGACCCCAGTAAAATGACCCTCCTTTCTCAGCGCCCCACACCCTCCTTGATTTCCGGCCTGCCTGCTGCTAATGTTTCTTGGAAAAGATCAATCGTTGAAAGCCACAGGACTGGCGGGGGACCAGAGCCGTGAAGGCATGCAAGCCCTGTAGACGGGCAGCTAGTCAGCCGCTCCACAATCACAACAACAGATGGGGGGTGATTGTGGTGGGGCAACACAGCCCTGGAGACACACATCTGTATAAGATAACCCCACAATGAATTGTGCTGTATGCTACAAACATGTGTTGATGGTTAGTGTGTGTGCTAAAAAGAGGGTTGGACTGATAATGGGGATTTTGAAGGCTGCTTTTTGTGACAATTTTCTGTATCTTAAAAGTTGTCTAGCCTTGGGATACATTAAATGGGCACTTCACTTGACTTATTTGACACATACACACATCGGTTTACTAGCCATGTTTAGTCCCACACCTGTGAGAACTGCTGTAAAATGTTTTTAGAATGATCTTTCTGATCAGTTTGGGCTTGGAGACTAAAAATTCACAACAAAAAGCCTGTGTTATAAACTTGTTGCATGGCATTGTAAGACAACATTTACTAGGCAGAAAGGTGTAGCAAAAAGATGCTATTGAGTTGCAAATATGGGAAATCTGAAGTCCTCTTGGAGGATATATCGACCAAATTTTTATCATTCTTTTTTTAATCTGTGTCCCTCACCTTTATGTAAGTGCAAAATCATTAGAGTGCCCCTTTAAGTTTTAAGGTATATAAAACCTGCTCAAGAATAATACTACACAACTCAATAAATTGATCTTCTTTATGAAAATATGTCGTGATAAGACAACTTCTTGGGAAAATGACCTTATTTGCCAATATTTAGAAGAACTAGATCCTGAGAGTGGCCTGATATACCAAAGTATGTATACAACAATATAAATACTTATTTCGAAAACACTCACTGACATCCTCTGTTTAGACCACTCCAATTTAAAACATTAACAATCCAAATGGGTCTAAGTTTGTTTCCTGTTGCTAATATCAATAACTGACAGGAAATAAAGACGGCGCCTGAACTGTTTCCTAGCAACACAACTCCAAACCTCTGCCGTCTGCAGCCCCATCACCCCGTCTCGTATACAGTTTTAATTTATTCCCTCTGTTCCAATCACCTGAAGCAAGATGCCATGTTTATTGCAGTTTTTTTTGTTGGCAGACAGTCCAAAAAATCCTTATCAAATAAAAACTCAAAGCTTATATATTTGGTCAAATTTTTGACACAATTCAAAATGTTGAAAATGCTTTAAATAATCATCAAAAATCTTCACTGTGTGTTGTTATAGGCTGCGGCTATTTCCTTTGCCATATGTTATTGCTTTATTTTGATCATGACAAAAGGCACCAGGCCGGTGCTGCGACTAGTCAAAACTGTCCTGTAATGTAAATGTCACAGGTCACCGTTTAAGTGCTAAAACGTCTGCTGCGTGGTCACAATCTGCCGAAATGTCTTTGAGCAAGACAAAGCCCCTCAAAACATAGTAAATCCATTTTGAGCCTAGCGATGTGGAACAAACACCGCTCCAATGGTTCAACATCACAACCTCGTTTTCACTTTAACTGTCAGTGGTTTATAGATTTCCTCTTACAGGGATGATGAGCTACTCCCTTCATTTGGATGGTTTTCGTTTCATCTGCACGACGATGACTTTCTCTCATAAAAAGGAAAAATCAAAGTCGATTGGTCAAGCTTATTACCTCCCTCCTCTCCCCGTGTCATAACCCCCGCTTTATCCAATAAGACTGTCATTGGGAACAGCAGTGGAAGCATTATTTCCGAAATGTCTCATTTAGGATTCGAGTCTCCATTCATCAAGCCTTGGCTTTGTTTGAAACAGGACTCCCTCTTTTTCTTGTTTTCTTCTGTCTGCTTAGACCAAAAAAAAAACATTTCCTATTCATGTTTTATTCCTGGTACTGGTGATTTTAAAAAAAAGTGTTTTTCTGTCTACCTTTTCTGCTCCTCATGCAAATTGCCTGCATGCTGTGATGAGTCAGTCAAATCAGTGAAAAACAATAACAAACCATATAAAAAGAAAGGTGTGTGCTTGTTAATGGTGTATACTACGGGTGTGTCACTATTCTTGGCTCTGCTGTGCTGTAACATTTTCTCAATGCAACTGAGCAATGAGAGGTTTTGCATTTTTCACCCAGGTCAGGTTGTGTCCGTAGAATTAAGTTGAAAAGAATCAAAGGGTTTGTGATTTCCCCCAATCATCTGCCCTCTGCTCTCCCTCACCTCTTATCCTATTGGTCTGCTATCTTGGTTGATGACCTCAGGCTGTTAGGGATCTCAGGAATTCAACAAGAGGATCGTTGCCATGACGATAATGGGGCAACAGGCTGAGTGAAGTAACCCTGGTTTGTCTATCAGCAGGCCAGACACCCTTATCTGGCATGAGTCGCTCTGTCTGTCTAACACAAACACACAAACACAAATTATTTGTGCATAGCATAAATACCGATATGCACATACACACACACTGTTCACCAGATGTGCAGCCTGATTGCAGAAGGCAGCTGGAGTTGGAAGTTAACTCTGGTTAAATGCCTCTTGGCAGAGCTTAAACACAAACACACAACCCAACCCTTGATGGGATTGAACAGACAACCCTGTGGTCACATTTCTGAGAAGACGTTTAGCTATAAAGCACAAACTTCTTGTTTTTTGCATGTGGCAGCGTGTAAATAAGATGACCTTATTTATCACTAGACAGAGAGGGAGAGAGAGAGAGAGAGAGAGAATGCACAAGGTTGTGGTTTGTGGCCTTGAAATGAGCAGAGGGAGGGAGGCAAGTGTTGTTTGTTTTTTGCACCATCAAATTACATACTTTAGTCAGCTTCATGTTAACTGTTGACACCAGAAAACATTCACAAATGGTATTTCTTTTGCTAGAAAAGCTCAAAAGGTATTCCTTAAAACATTAATTCAGGAGGGGATGTACTGAAAACATTGTTTTAAAAATCCATAGAGTGGACACAAAATTGCCAAACAGCAGAAAAATTCATTAAATCTAAAACTGTCCACAGCCACCAATTTTAGTCTGATTCCATTCTGTTAAAGTGTTAACCCAACACTGAAGTTGCCTACTTTCGTTAAAAATTCATCATGTTTCATTTTTGTTCCATCAATCATTATAAATCATTGCCTTGTCAAAAAGCAGAAAATCTAATTTAGGAACAAAAAACGTCACATCCAGCATTGTTGTCATCTCCTCTGTCGTCTAATGTCAAATCCTATTTAAAGCTCATTTCTCTGCAGCCCTTCTGGAGTAGGGTGGGAGTTTGGCTCTCAACACCAGTACCAAACCCCTAACAGCTGCCGCCGCAGACCGTGCTGCCATCGATGCCGCAGCACAGACACGACACAACTGTCAGTGGCCTGTTGGCTAATCTGCTTTTCCCACTATAAGCTCACAGCCATGAAAACTCAGCGTTATGACGGGCTGATAAATACGCTCACACAAGTTCTGCAAAATTTCAGAGAGTCAGTAACCTGAGGCTTTCATCACGCTGCTGCATGTTTAGCTTTCTTCTTTCCTTAACTGCTCCCCAGCATTGTTAATAGCTTGTACTTGACAAAAGAGTAACCCAGTCCCCATGCTATTTTCGGCCCACATGACACACACCAACAGAGAAAAATATGCTCGCCGAATTGTTCACAACCTCTGCCGAACAATGTGGGGTGGGGATTTAGGCGTTTAGCCACATCTACAGCTGTTGTACAGCAGGGAGAAGGAAAGGGGCATGAGCGCTCATGCCTAAATGTTTAGATGATAGTTATGTGTGGGCACAGGGTTGGCATCGCCATGGTAACAACAACCCTGTCCTGTCCTGTCGAGTCGGGGAAATGAAAGAGGCAGAGAGAAGGTAAATACACCCCTATTATTGAAATGGGGCATTTTTGTGAGGGTTAAGAGGAAATAGATACACATCCAAAATGGAGTGTGAGACCCAGTGTGTGAGGGAGGGGGAGTTAGAGGAAGAGTTGGGCATTTCTGACAGAGAGGTGAATGTGTAGAGAAAGAGAGAAAAATAATTGAACTGAATAGAGAAAAATGCGCCTTGTTAATGAGGATTAGGAGGAAACCAACACCACAGAAAGGAAACGTTAACAGTGTAACAAGAAAGAAAGAAAGAGGACAGGAGAAAGACAGAAAAGGCTTAGAAGAGTCATTTTCAGAGCGTGGCTGATTGACAGCTGAGGAGAAAGAGGAATATGTAACTGAGGGGACTTACAATCAGTGCTGACCTCGTCTGAATGCTACAGCTCCTTGCCTGATGTGAACCAACCCACTCTTCTTGACAACACCCATCTCTTCTTTCCCGTACTTTAGTTTCCAAGGAAACAAAGTCATCTCAGCTGCTGGACAGACCAAGAGACGAAACTGACGGGTGAAGCTTTCCCCAACTGGTCTCAATTGTTCTCATCGAACAAACAATAACGGAGCATGACAGAGCATGATTTATTCAGAGCTGTCTGTAAGCTCTGAGGGACACACATTCTGCACACTCATACATCAGTAGACACTGTGGGAAAGAGAACGTCGAGAGAGCCTCCTTTTCTTTCATTCCTTTTCATCACCGCTCTCTTCCTCCCTCATTATTCTCCTTTCTTTCCTTGCCTGCTGTCTCGCCTGTGCTGTTTTCCCATCTCCTGGTCTTTCTGCCCCGTCCCCCCCGATGATTCTTTCTCAATTTCCTTTTCCTCTCGCTGATCTTGTATCCCCTTCACAGCCCAAAACCTCACAATATGATACAAAGACAGACCACACACACTTTTTTTTTTACAAACACACAGACACAGGTCTAAGGTGCATTTGAATGAGTGCGAGTATATGAATTAGTTGAAACACCTCCATCAAGTCATTCCTTTTCATTTGGCAGTGGGTACTCCAGCGGGGTTTAAAAGGACTTATAAATTGCTACTGAGACCCAAGAATAATATAATATCTGAATGTATGTCTGTTTCTGGAAGGAGGTCACCAAATATGACAGGAAGACATCTGAAGGTGGAGAGTGAAGCGGGAACATCAGCCAGTCCGTAAACTTTAATGAACAAAGACAGAAACAAACAAAAAAAACCCCAATCCTTTACTTCCAAGTTTCTTGTCTCCACAGGTTTCAAATGGCTCCAAAAATACCCTTCCATTACCTCGAAACAGTGCCTTTCTCTCAGACAGCAGGTATGTCATATTGGCTCGGGTGAAGTAAGGGAGGACAGGAGCAGGATGACAAAAAAAGAGAGATAGCTTGGCTCCTCCCCCAAAAAGGGAAAAATGAGGAGTTCTTTGATTTTGTTTATCCAGTGGTTGTATCCTCTTAATAATCTCTCTGTAAATCCATGGTGGATGTGATTAAGTGTTCCCTTTTTGACCCTTTTTTAATAATGATTTTTAAGAGATTAAATCCTTGCAACATCAGTGCTGCCTGGTGGAGATACTCGTAGTATCGCTCCAATGAGAGATGTAGTTCATCAGTACTGTTCCGCCCCCCAAAATTCTGAGGCCTCACTCTGGCTTTGCTAGTTATTTCACATAGCTTGTTCTAGCTGAATTGCTAGCGCTCACTCAGTCTGGACACTTTGTTGTAAGGGTTCTCCAGGAGGTAGCGGTACCTGTCATAGTGCTCCAGCATGTACTTGGGGGCGTACATGTGCTCTTTGGGGTCCACAGGGGGATATTCCTGCAGGGAGCCATCGAACCAGACCCCTGTCCGGATCAGATCGCGGATGTAGTTGAGGTCACGCTTGTCCTCGTAGTCACCCCACCGTGGAAAGTCTCCGTTCTGCGCTGACACCAGCTTGAAGTAGATCCCCTCAGGCGTGAAGCACCAGGAGCAGTGCCATCCAGCAAAGTGGAAGGGGCTGCCCACTGACCATTGCACCAGGATGTGGCCGGTGTCATTCTCATACTTACGGAAACCTGGCATGGTGTAGTATTCGCGACGGCGGAGCTTGATACCGTCGCCATCGTAGACATCGCGAAGCATCCCCACTGTGCAGCCTGATACTACCTCTAGAGAACCAAACTGCTTCCAGAAAAATCCATACAGTGACTGGATGTTGGGAGAGAAGAGAAATAACCAGGGTCATAAACAGAAAGCATGAAATATGAATGATTTGTTCAAACATTTGACTGACCACACACAAGCTGACATATCCCTACTACCTTGCGCATGTGGATGGCAAAAGGTTCTGTCCAGCCATCAAACAGCTTGAGGAAAAGGAGGCCCTCATGTGAAGGGATTTCATCTGCGTCATTGATGACAAATACGTCGTCCGATCTTGCGCCCAACACCCTGGACATGCCATTGTGTGTCAGAAAGGTACGCAAGTAGTCATCAGCAATCCAGCCGTCCTGTCGACCACCCTCTGGGAAGTGGTCAAGGAACACGTACAGGATCTTGTGACGTATGTAGTCATACGTGCCATTGAGGAGGAGCCGCAGGAAACTGGGGAAATTGCAGGCATTACAAATGTCATTTAGTGGATTGTTTTATCCAAAGAAACTTACAGTTGTGCATTTGTGCATTGTTATATTGAAACATATCACCTCACAGCTAACTATTTTCCAATGTTATTGTTTTTAGATCTTCAAATGTATTTTACCTACCATTCCAGTAAGCCATAGATGTCCTTTCTTTTTTCATTTGGTATGCTAATTTGTTAGTAAGCTCTTAAAACTTGCTGGAGTTGAATCTCATCACAGTGTACATTAAGACTTTTTTTTCAAGGTTAGATTGTTGTTACTTAAAAATGTCCAGAGTCCAGGATTTTTAAATCAGCTACATTTACAAATTTCGTTTGTGTCTCATGCTTTAATAGCATGTGCACAAACTGCAAACATTAAAAAAACTGCTTTGAACATTCTGTTTGACATTTGTTGGACATCAAGAATCCATAAATGCATTTTGGTGTAAGAATGTAAATGTAACTGTATTCCTTTAGAAGAAAACTCCACAGGGTAACTTTCAACTTCATTGGCATGCACCCATAATGTGACTTTATCAAACGTTTACAGAGACTTGATGAATTCAACAACTCAAGCAAGTATCAAAGCCCTGCTTATTGATTTCCTACTGTACAGAACAGAACAGTAAGAATAACACATAAACATTTTGTAGATGACATTAAGATTGGTAAAAAGTTGCAGCAGAAATAATAACAGCCAACAAAGTCCTTTTTTGACAAATTATGCCTTTCACTACAGAAAACCCACTGTCCATACACCAAACTGACTGGAAGAACAATTCAATTAACCTGTTGATATGCACAGCAAAAGAGAGTGTTCACTGAATGTAGCTGCTTTCATGCAGTGTCACATCCTATCATTGAACACACCAATCTCTTTCTCCAAGGCTACATAGAGAGTCAATCATGTCGCTCTTGTCATAATCTGCTGTAAAATTGCTCCCGAGGCATTTCATGTTGTTGCCAAAGGAATTTGACTGTAATTGTTATTCAGAGCACACACACACACACACACACACACACACACACACACACGGTGTCTTACCTGAGAGGCCGTTTCTCTCCGTAGGCAGTAAAGTTGGATTCACAAACAAGGAACAGATCAACGGCTTGGGCGAGCTCATGAAAGCGTACATGGAGCAGGTCAAACTCGTGGTTAACGTTGATGGCATTGATCACCCTCCGCGGAGTTCCTCTGGGTGTCAGCCGCTCCTTAGTGGGCAGATTGGAGTGATACACCATGGTGGGAACCCCACAGTAAGGTCCGTGCCAACCCGGCCGACACACACATTTGACCAACCGCTTCCCATTGCCTCTGGCCCTGGCCTTGGCTTTTGGAGCTACAGAGGGCTGCTGCTGGACCTCCAGAGGTTTGCGTTGCGCAGCAGGCCCAACTCGAGCAGCTTCCTCAGCCCCATTGGCCACAGACCCCCCTGATTTCCCAGAGTACTCCTTTGGGGTAGCCATTTCTGTCCCCTGCCTGAAGCAAAGGGCTCCAGCTTTGGTTCGGACAAAGTAAGGTGTTTTGTCATCATGAAGTTGGTGTTTGCGGGTGTGGAGGTCTCCCAGAGTTTCTAAGGGGTCCTTGATGAACACCACATGAGGCTCTTTTGCCACCAATGGGGCCTTTGGGATGTCAGGCCCAACATGTTGGGCTTGGATGCTGGGTTTCCGTGGCTTCAAGTGGTCTTCAGCTCTCTCCTGAAAAGAAAGACAAAAATAGAAGGGGATTAAGAAAACTTGTTTAAATTAGGAAGAGTTTAAAATTTGGGGCTATGAGCTGCACACTTGTGAGCCATAATGGGAGGTAGGTGATTCACAGTTGGGTTACTGCCAGTGCGCCGCTTATCAGCATTGCAGGCTGCGGGGGAACTCCGGTGTTGTCGGAGAATTACAAAGCTTGTCTATTAAACACGATAGGCGTCACTCTGTTTTATTTTCGTTGGCCATCTTTTGAATTGAACCTCAAACTCAGAGTATTTTTTGTTTACTTGCTGGGATATAGAAAGATGAACTCCTAGGAGATTTGAACTGAGATAAGGACTCATTAATTGGTGGTTGAACTGTGGGTTTTATATTGAGCGCTTATTGTAAAACACACTGTGGTGAACTTAGTTTTTCTTGTGGTCTATAGGTGGGCTGACCTGATATTATTATATCATATTATTTAATGCCATGACTTGACTCAAATTAACTTTCTCATATTATTATAATTTGATATATCTTCTCCACCATTGCTCATAATAATAATTCTACCTAATTCATCATAACACCGGCCTGACCCACAAGAAAGAACACTGTTTGTTCTATCTCTCTAATATTGTGTTGGTCATACTGTACACTGACTTACTGCTTGTCTGTTTTGAATAATACAGAAAGTAAAGAGCTTAAAAATTATTTGCATATTAAATCGCAATCGCAATATTGGTAAAAAAAAATCGCAATTAGATTATTTTCCAAAATTGTTCAGCCCTAGTCTGTACTAATAACATTCTAAGCATCCCACTAAACTCATGGACTCATGAATGTTCAAAACATGTTTTAAACGTGCAACATGTGTGCACAAGAACATAGATTTATTTGAATACCAAAAACTGATGAGTAGTCAAAGGCAACAGAATTTAAAGTGAGGTGAAGTGAAAGAGAAATATCATATTAACACATTATATTCAGGATAATAATGCAGACTTATTGTCCAAATTTCAATCTAAGCACTAGCCAAAATGAAATAATTTCTTATTATTTCAACTATGTCGTAGCTTCTTCTGCAAATACATTTTATTCATCTTTATTTATTATATCATGGCTGGAGCCAAAGTCTGTCATTGTTATTGGGTTTTTATACTCCCTACTTTCTAAAAGTATATATGAATGTACAGTGGACCTCAACATTGGAAATTGGACCTTGCAGAAACTGGTAAGATTAGTAGTGACACATGATCTTGAAAAGTGAAGAAGTAACTACATTTGTGTTTGCCTCATTGTCAAAGTGAATGAAAAGAGGGCAAATGGTATGTAGTTAATGTTGAAATGAAATACAAATAAATTAAAGAACAACTGCAGCAATCACAGCAGAACAATGATACCTTATCATTAAATCTTCAGTATGAAAGCAATTACTTATCGTAAAACAGTTTTATTACGATTGATAGAGACACTGCATTACCATATGACCTCTGACGAGTGTTTACAGAGCAGTTTTCTTTGTCTCAAAGGCTCAATGAACATAGACTTGGGAACAAGTGATAACACGGTGGGGCAGAATGATAAAAACAGGATGATAAAATAGGATGATAGCAGGAGAAGATGAAATAACTGAATTAATGAAAGAAATACAATCAATAATGTGTGAGATACTATTACATTACAATTACATCAAGAGGGTTGTGAAAATATTTTTCCTCTATGCGAACAGTTTATTACTTTCTATTTCTGTCACAGTTTGGCTCGCTGTCCTTCTGTCTAGCGTCATTCCCACTTCCTCAAATACATTTTGTGGCTGCACCTCAAGTCTTTTAACATTTCCCTTACTTGCATCTTAGAAAAACCATGTGTGGAGAAAAGAAACAAGGAAATATGCTTTTAGAGAAATGAGACTTTCTTTGCAGCGTCACATGAAGCGACGTCATTTTCTGATGACGGTGACAGTCGACTCAAACAGCTGTAGAGACATTTGACGGAGTTTGTGCCTGCATACATGTACACTGTGCCAGTGCTAATAAAAAGGCTCACAGTTATCAGTGCCAGAACAGCAGTGTTTTCTCTCTGTAGCTGTTACCTGCTTAGCAAACACCTGCACATTATACTGTGTAATGTGTCCTGCTCTGACGCACAGGAGTCATTTCTACTGGCAGAATGCTTTTCTATTATTTATTCATTATCTGCATGAATTCATTGTTGAATAACTCAGAATATGATCATGGTGTCTTTTAAACACTGAATATGATTTATCAGGATACATATTTCAGGGGAAATTATGTAACTCATATCAAATCCAATGCTCCGGAATGATAAGCCACACATGACTAAATGTACATTACAATAAATGATCTAAAAGAGTCTCCGACTCTCTCTGACTTTAATCGTATCCATAATAAAAATTGGGGGGGAAAAAACGTTTGTGAAAAGAAAAATCTTTCTAATAAATGAATAAAGATGTCTGTCCTCCTCTTGTTGTTCAGACCTACAATGAACACAGATTTTTTTTTAACTAGTATGGTGAAGGAGAAAACAAACTTGGGAGTGATGCACTTGAGTTTAATCTGTTATCAGTCTTCAGTGATGCTGTGTAATATAACATCAGTCCGATCAACTACAGGGTCCAATCAACAACTGATATTCATAAAGAGGGCATGTTGTATAGCCCCACTAATGGCTTCTCAGAGATCCCTCCTCGCTCCTCTGACCACAAATAAGAGCTTTGACAAGGCCTGCAAGATGGCGGACCAGAACAAAATGAACAGAAGTGGCCACTCAGACCAAACACCGTACATGCTTATATATTTAACATAATATATTTAATGTGACTAGCCATCATTTAAATAGCGTTTTCAACACCAGCTGTTCCTGCATTACGAGGATAGAGTAGCAGTGTTATTGCCATGACAACAGACCTGCAACAATGAAGTCAAAGTTGGGGATAAATCCACTCTTTTTACCAGACTCATCACAAGTCGTAACTCTATTTTATAGCCTTTAATGTTCACCCCAAGTAACAGATTAGGTAGCCTTAATCAAATAAATAAATTGATGAATAGGCTATACAAATGAATGATTACATTGGCATGAATCACAGCCCTCTATAATAGCCTAATTCCAGTGTTCGAGCCAATTGACAATTTAATTAAAATAATGTGGTATAGCCTAATAATAATAACCAATACGACAATTATGAACGTGAATTATGTTCAAAATTTAGGCTAGGCTATTTGTTTATTTATTAAGTTTAGCTATCATTAACGTTTTACTTTGAAGGCGAGCGGGCGCTGTTTCCGGTTTACAAGTTGGATAATGAAACAAGCCGATGCTTTGGTGCGCTAAATTACATTGCATGTCCTCATTCAATGCGACAGTAACACAGCATAGTTCTAACATAGTTTAGGCAGCATTGGCTCTGGAAAAATGAACTCACATGGATCAACATACATTTGCATTAGCGCAAGTAGGACAATGAAATTAGGTCATACCCCTAAACTGCAGATGAATTATACTTCATGCTCGGACCATTTACTGCAGGGCTGTTGTATTTCATTTCTTTTCTGTTCACTCAATAGACAGTAAATAATGTTACAGCAAAGGTTTACACATCTCACCTCATTTGGAGTGTCTCCCCGCTGGTTCTCCTCTGGTTTTTCCCAAGGGTGGGGGGGCGCCGGCTCCTCCCTCATCTCCCGCCCTTCACTGCCAACAATTCCAACCATTACACCCCCAATCCCCAGACCCACCCCTCCTCCAGCCACAGCTCTAGCTTTGGTGTCCAATTGATGGAGAACAGGTAGGGGAGGGGCCTCTTCAGGAGAGGCGGGGCTGAGCGGGGTGGTGGCCACACCCTTCTCCCTCCAGAAAAAGCCGGTGACCATGATGAAGGACTTGATGTTTGGGTACGGAGCGGAGAGCTCACGCAGTAGGGAGACGTAGTGGAGAGCCTTGTAGTAGTGGAGGAAGGAGATGACACACAGGCCCACTGTGCACAGCAAGAACACCCTGTGTCGCCGCATTTTCATCCTGGAAAGAGGAAGGAGGGGGTGAGTGGGGACAGAGAAATTAAGAAACATCAGTCTGACTATTAACATCAGAAAACAATGTTTGTTTTGGAATAATCTCTTTATTCCCATCTGCACTTCTGCGGGCCAACTACAATTAACTTAAAAGTAATGGCCTCAGGGTAAAAAAATCACTCACCACCCCTTGGCTTTGGTAAGAGCAACAGTACAAATAAAAGGTGGAAGGTGTTAGCCTCAAATGCGTGGGGCCATGAACTTGCATTTTACCCCTCAAGCTAGCATGAGTCCAAAAACATTCACCGCTTTTCCACTGAGCGTGTTGTTTTTTCCTCTAAGAACAAGAAAGTAGCTGAAAAGGAGTAGAAATACTTGTTAAAAGGAAAAATGTTTGGGACTATAAAGATTTTAATTTATTTTCAGATGCAAAATACCTTGGGGATCTAGGCTCCTCTTCTTCTTCTAATGTCATTGTTTTGGTTTTACTACCCACAGCTTCACTATTTTGTTCCCTCTCACCACTCATGAGAGTAATAACCAGACACAGGTTGTTGTTTTCAGTGAAAAAGTTCTGATAAACCCACTGTATGCTACCTGCCCAGCACCAAATGGCACACGTAAGCAGTTAATTGGTGAATAATATTTCCCTCATTGTAGAGACCAAAACAGGGCAAAAATAAGTGAATACTGCACATTAATCACATGGATAGAAAAAGGGCTCAAAACAAATGCTAATTTTGTTCAGGATCAGTTGGACGTGTACATAAGCACCTGTTTGCTAACACCATATCACCTCTGATGTGCTTACAGCTAGTTGTACTGTTCCCTAAATGGCAAAATCAGTTAATTTAGGTTTAAACTCAAACCTGTAAAAATGCAGGTTTATTTAATCTAAAACGCTGACAGATTGGTTCCTACGAGCATAATTGGCCACACTGAGAATCAAAAACCTGTTCATGTCAGTGCTATGCCCTAGCTCTGCTCAGTGAGCTGTACATAATTTCCCGCTGATGATCATGTTGGTTAAATGAGTTGATTTAATTTTCATCCAGTAACTTTTTATTACAGAAGATGCACAACAGAAGAGTGAAATATACGTGGAAAAGAGTGAATTGAAAGGGAAGAAAAGTCAACATGGCCATTATATCATTAGTCATACTGACTTTTAGCTTCTCATGCAGGACGTGGGATGAGAGAGGAAGCATGCGAGAAAAACTGTATGTATTATGTTTTATTAAGGGATAATCATAACTTTCAAAAATACAAGGCAACACAGACCAATTACAGATCATCCTAGTTTAGTCCTGTTTGTACACATGTCTATCTGATCAATTTCACCTTTTTTTTTTTTCTCTGTTAAAATAACCTTTAAATAGACCACAAAAGTGGACTCAAAGCATCTAATGTGAGCATCTGTCTTGGCTTTTGAGTGGGATTTCCTTTTTAGCTGGGCACAGGCAGTACAGAAAAGGAACAGGGAAACGCAATGCTTACACAGCAAGATTTATTCTTGCACTCTAATCCATCTTCAAAAAATGCTGGACATCTGAACACATTAAGCATGCAATGTGCAGGGGAATAAAAAACAAAACACTGAGGCACGATGGAAAAAAGAGCCTACTCTGCCAGTGACCTCCCAGCTCCCATAGTGTGAATCTGAAGTAGCTTGTTCAGCACAGCGCCCTGCCGAGGGTCTCAACTACTGGTTATGAAATGAAAAGCGAAGAGGGAAGACAAGTGTGATGAAGGGCAGGGGAGGAGTGAGGTCCAGCTGAAGATGGGGGGAGGACAAAGAGGAAGAGGAGGAGAGGATGGGAGGTGGTGGTATGGAGAGATGTGGTTAGTGGAGAGAGTAGAGGAATGTGAATGTGAGGGCAGAGATGAGAAGAGTGGAGGGAGACTGAGAGTCCTCTGAGAGGATGAAACATTCATGCGCTGCATTAACAGAAAGTTGAGAGCCTAAACAACAGGCTCAAAAACATTAACGTTAACAGCTTACCACAAGTACATAAAGATCTTAATCCGAGTATAACAACATTAGTCTCCACATGAATCTTAAGTGTTCTACAATCTGAAAACAAATCAGAGGGGTCAATGCGTCAAGTTCTGAATCACGACTGAATCAAATCCTGAACTTTGTGTTGTCAAGTGTCATTCATGTTAATGTTATAGGTCTTAAGTAGCAAGTATGTTTTGATTTTTTCAAGTTGAGTGTAAAGTCACCAGACTTGTGACTTGCGTCTGACCCAAGTCACAAGTCTCGTAACTTAAACCCACCTCTGCTGTTTTCCCATTTCCTGAAGTTCAACATTCACTAATCTCTTCATCAGTGAAGCTAAACCTGAGTCCAAAGATTCAGTTAAATGAAGAATAGTTTCTATTTCACTGCATGGACATTTACTCTATGCAAGCATGTATAACAATGCTTTCAATTACGCTGCTCTAAACTAAACTCTAACTAAAGTTTGTTACTTTAATATGAAATGTTGGGAAATTACTTAACTTCTTCTGTATGCAAATGTGCATTTTGATAGACAATAATGGATTACAAGCACCAGACTTTCACAACTCAAGTATTTGCATACGTTTTATTTCAGTTCAGATATTCAATTCATTCTGCACCTAGACTCCAATCTTAATCACAGACAAGTCCCTTGTTCCCTGTCCTATATTACCTCGTCTTTAACCACCCCCAAAACCTGAAGAGGTCTTAGGATAAAAACATAATGTAAGCAGCCATTTTCGGGTAATGTTGTGGGAAGGAAATCTGTCCCACGCCCTAAATGTCTTCAGTCAACAAGCTCTCAACACTGAGAGAAATACGCATCCATAAACAGATAGAGATGTGTTATGTTGTGTAGCTACTCCATCTCTTCACTGAGATGCTAGACTTCCTTTTCAAAATATAAATGAAGCATTCGTAATTCCACAGTTGATATGAACACAGTCATACATGGATGAGAAGAGAGGAGCGGATAAGAGAGAGGAGGTGATGGGACTAGAAGGCAGAAAAGAAGTGAAAGGAAAAGGTGTATGGAAAAAATCCAGTCTCCAAGTCCATTACCTCAGTCTGAAGGATTTATTAATTAACTACAATAACATGGTTAAGGATGCGAGAACACACTATTTTTCTGAACTCATTACTACACATAAACACAATCCCAGGTTTCTGTTTAAGACTGTGGATCAGCTGGTAAACCCAACCACTCCTTGTGCCTCAGCTGGAAGTAATGATGACTGTGAATTGTTTTTATCTTATTTTACCAATAAGGTGGTGTCAATCAGAGCCTCTATTACCCCCGTGGCCTCTTACTCAGAGGTTCCTCACCAGCAACAAGAGAGTTTTAACCAGTTTTATCCCATCGACTTGTCTGAGCTTTTAAAAACAGTATCACAAATGAGAGTGTCCTCCAGCCCACTTGATGTAATACCTACAAAATTTTTACTGAAAGTAATGGATTCTGTTGGGCCCCATTTGATCTCTGTTTTTAACAGCTCCCTATCTACTGGTTGTGTCCCTGATTATTTCAAAAATGGCTTGCGTGAACCCACTTTTAAAGAAACCTGGTTTAGATCCCTCCCTCCCACATAATTTTAGACCAATTTCAAAACTGCCTTTTATTGCAAAGATTCTAGAAAGAATTGTGTCCAAACAGCTGCTCACTGTACTGGAAAATAACAAAATATTTGAAAAGTTTCAGTCTGGTTTTAGGAAGTACCACAGCACTGAGACTGCCCTGCTTAAAGTCACCAATGACCTTTTAATGTCTGCTGATGAAGGCATGTGCTCAGTCCAGGTACTCCTGGACCTTAGCGCTGCTTTTGACACCATTGATCACAACATCATGTTAGACAGACTGAGGCACTGGGTGGGGATCTCTGGTACTGCCCTAGAATGGTTTTCATCCTACCTGTCAAATAGGAAGTTTTGCGTGTCTGTAAACAACTATGTCTCCTCATTCTGTCCAGTTAAATATGGTGTGCCTCAGGGGTCGGTCTTAGGACCCATTTTGTTTTCCTTGTATCTGCTTCCCCTTGGACATATTATCCATAAACATGGCATTTCTTTTCATATTTATGCTGATGACATACAAATATACTTGCCCGTCAGATCCACAGACCCTGGAATGCTGAGTTCACTTAACAACTGCCTTTGTGAAGTTAAAAAATGGATGTCAAATAATTTCCTCCAGCTGAACTCAGACAACAACAACAGAAATCCTGGTCATCGGGTCTCAGCAGATGGCATCAAATACTGCCATCTGCTGGTTCCCTAGTAAATCACATTAAGCCTGTGGCAAAGAACCTTGGTGTTTGGTTTGATAGTAATTTAAATTTCGAGCAGCACACCACAAAGCTTGTTCAATCATGTTTTTATCAACTTAGAAATATAGCAAAATTCGATCTATGTTAACTTTTAAGGACACCGAGACCATTTTACACGCCTTCATCTCATCACGCCTGGATTATTGTAACAGCCTTTTCACCTGTTTAACCCAAAAATCTATTGATCGACTCCAGACTGTCCAGAACTCAGCTGCCAGGCTTTTAACCAGAACAAAGAAATATGACCACATTACTCCTATTTTAGCTTCATTACACTGGCTCCCAGTATGTTTTAGAATTGACTTTAAAATTCTATTGATCACTTTTAAAGCTCTTCATGGCCTCTCGCCTTGTTATATTTCTGACCTTTTAGTCCCATACACACCAGCAAGTACCTTGAGATCCTCGGGCAGAGGTCTGTTGTCTGTTCCAGAGTCTCGACTGAAAACTAAAGGGGACAGAGCGTTTGCTGTCAGGGCCCCGAGGCTCTGGAACAGCCTGCCCGAGGAAATCAGGTCGGCTGAGTCGGTGAACTCTTTTAAGTCCCTTCTTAAAACATGCTTTTATAGGAGAGCCTTTCCCGATCTTATTTGACTTTATTTTATCCCTTTTATTTTATTGTATTTTCAACGCCTCCTATAGGTTACCATTGTGATGAAAATATTTAGGACAGGTTGG